TGACTCTGTAAACCGATTAGAGAGGGCTGAAAGCCCTATGAAGCGGTATATAAGTCTAACTGCTATTGCTATTCTCCACTTTCCTGCTGTGCTGCAAAAGGAATTGTGTGACCAAGCTGCTTCCCCAGGGGTGGGGCCTCTGGGGGTTCACAGGGATTCAGGAGAACCTTAAGCTAAGATTCCCTGCAGTTCAGAGAATCCCCACTCCTGGCTGGCCTCGCCCACTCCTCCCCTCCCAGGAGTTCCCATGCGGCTCGTTTTGGATGCAGGTAAGTGCAGGGTGGGTGCTGAGGCTCAAGGAAGGCAAAAAACGACCCTACCAGAAATTTGGGAAGGCCAGAAATGGGCCTGTTCCCAGCCTTCAGAGGGCCTTCTGATCCTGGGGAGGCTGTTTTCACCCTCCTGGAGGCTCGAGAAAAGCCTCTGGAGCCTGGAGAGGGCAAAAATGCCCCACCATGGTGCGGGAGCCAACTAGGCCACGCCCTCCATGGCCACGCCCACCCAGCAACCAGACAAAGAACCCCTTGCTAAAAATTTTGAAGCCCACCCCTGCATCTTCCCCAATCCTCCCATGACGTTGCTGCAGCTGGTGAACCATAAGAGAAAACGTGACTCCAGCAAACATTTCCGATTAACTCATACGATCAAAGCGGATGCTTCTGGTTTTCAATTTATTTATTTTTGCTACTGGTTCCTTTTGCCTTCTCTGGGCTCAAATGTTAGCTGCGATGAGGCTGCTTCCCCAAACACGGGAGCCAGACCTGCAAATTGGGGAGGAGAAATACAAAGGATTGGTTTGAAAGTGATTTTGCAAACGGAAAAGGAGCTCGACGTTTCTCTCAATTCAGTCCCTAACAGCGAGGACAATTAACCAGTGGGTTAACGGAAGTTGCCTCCAGAAATCGTGGGCTGGAGGTTTTTAAGAAGAAATTAGACAGCCACTTTATCTGAAATAGTATAGGTTCTCCTGCTTGAGCAGGGGGCTGGACTAGAAGACCTCCAAGGCCCCTTCCAGCTTCTATTCTATTCCCCATTCTATTTTACTCTATTCTACATTCTATTCTATTCTGTATTTTATCATTCTATTCTATTCTGTTGTGTATTTTATCATTCTATTCTGTTGTGTATTTTATTATTCTATTCTACATTCTATTCTATTCTGTATTTTATCATTCTATTCTATTCTGTTGTGTATTTTATCATTCTATTCTGTTGTGTATTTTATTATTCTATTCTACATTCTATTCTATTCTGTATTTTATCATTCTATTCTATTCTGTTGTGTATTTTATTATTCTATTCTATTCTACATTTATTCTATTCTGTATTTTATTATTCTATTCTACATTCTATTCTATTCTGTATTTTATCTATTCTATTCTATTCTACATTCTATTCTATTCTGTATTTTATCTATTCTATTCTATTCTACATTCTATTCTATTCTGTATTTTATCTATTCTATTCTATTCTAC